ACTGTCAAAAAAATATTTATATATGGGTAATGCTACATGTACACACACACTTTTACACAATCTTTTACACCTCTCTCACATGGAGGGGGGTCCACGATTATTTTATTATGTGTGGGCCCCCCTCCATGTGAGAGAGGTGTAAAAGATTGTGTAAAAGATTGTGTACATTTAACATTATTCTAAATCATATATGATTCATGTAAGTATCACTGAGGCGCCAGTTTCTGTCTGCTATGGCACCTAGGCACTGGTTATGTGGTGCCTAGGCACTATCCGTTCTGCCCATCTTCAATTATTTCTACAATGCTGAAGCGTTGCATTTTTTGTCCACTGTTTTTGCATCTTTAGCATGTTTCCAAATTTTTGCGTCCATAGTTCATATCACCATCATTTATTGGCTTCCTAATTATTCCAATAGTAGCCTTTTGTCACTATTTCACCTAACAGGCTAACCTACAATAAAACACGAAAACACATATCAAAACATCTTAAAACTCTAGAGATCAAACAAAATATCAAGATTAAATAGTATTAGGTGCATAAGTGAAACACACTCATCAAATACCCTCATACTCAATAATTTGTTAGTTCTCGAGCAAACATAAAGAGAAGAATAGAAAAGAAAAGAAACACAAAACAAAACAAATACACATCCAAACTAACTCGCATGCAACAACTTTTAGTTAGATAATCTGCTCTTTTTTTTTTTGTCTCGAGATTGACAATATTGATGAACTACTTCAAAATTATAATGTAAAAGTCAAATTTTTACCTATCCAATGTAAAATGGGTGGGTGTGTGAAGAATTAAGATAAACGCTATACACTTATAAGTTGGTTCAATTATTGACCCTCAACGATTAAATATATATGTTCTTCACTCGTGATATATATACTCCCAAAGTTATTCTCTTGATTTTTTTCCTAGGGTGTATTTTATTGCTGACTTTCAAGTAACTCATTTCTTTTATTGCTCTAATTTGGTTGTGTCTAATTGACAATGTCAACAATCTATGTATGTGATGATTCTCCCCAAAGTTGGATGCTTCGACATTTAAGCTTATATTAAGTAATTCAAACTCACTAGTAATCTAAGCTCCTAAATTCAATTATAATGTACAATTATTTGCTAATTTGACTACTCATGATTGACTCATCCCTCTAAGCTTTCTTATTGACCCATGTAACGAGTTTTAGATCGATAACTTCCCAATTTTTAAAGACCAAATGGTACCGAGTTTTGAGATATCCCTTACGGAATTACTAATTCTAGTAAAAAAAAGGCTACATAGTGGGGCGTAATATTAACAAGTGCAATGCCTTTTTTTTATTCTTTTATGAAGATAAAATATATGGGACTTAATCGGATCACTTCCAAGTGATATGCAACGGATGACGATTTGAATCCTTTGATTAATTGAGACAATTTATACATGAAGAAAACTCAACAAACGAAATTTGTTAGAAATACACAAGTGTTTGTTATAATCAAAACAATTGGAGTTATATTGAATCATAGGTCAACACATAGTTCATATCACCATCATTTATTGGCTTCCTAATTATTCCAATAGTAGCCTTTTGTCACTATTTCACCCAACAGGCTAACCTACAATAAAATACCAAAACACATATCAAAACATCTTAAAACTCTAGAGATCAAACAAAATATCAAGATTAAATAGTATTAGGTGCATAAGTGAAACACACTCATCAAATACCCTCATACTCAATAATTTGTTAGTTCTCGAGCAAACATAAAGAGAAGAATAGAAAAGAAAAGAAACACAAAACAAAACAAATACACATCCAAACTAACTCGCATGCAACAACTTTTAGTTAGATAATCTGCTCTTTTTTTTTTTGTCTCGAGATTGACAATATTGATGAACTACATCAAAATTATAAAGTAAAAGACAAATTTTTACCTATCCAATGTAAAATGGGTGGGTGTGTGAAGAATTAAGATAAACGCTGTACACTTATAAGTTGGTTCAATTATTGACCCTCAATGATTAAATATATATTTTCTTCACTTGTGAGATATATACTCCCAAAGTTATTCTCTTGATTTTTTTTCCTGGGGTGTATTTTAATGTTGACTTTCAAATAACTCATTTATTTTATTGATCTAATTTGGTTGTCTAATCGACAGTGTCAACAATCTATGCATGTGATGATTCTCCCCAAAGTTGGATGCTTCGACAATTAAGCTTATATTAAGTAATTCAAACCCACTAGTAATCTAAGCTCCTAAATTCAATTATAATGTACAATTATTTGCTAATTTGACTGCTCATGATTGACCTCATCCCTCTAAGCTTTTTCATTGACCCATGTAACGAGTTTTAGATCGATAATTTCCCAATTTTTAAAGACCAAATGGTATCGAGTTTTGAGATATCCCTTACGGAATTACTAATTCTAGTAAAAAAAGGCTACAGAGTGGGGCGTAATATTAACAAGTGCAATGTCTTTTTTTTATTCTTTTATGAAGATAAAATATATGGGACTTATATCACTAGCATATGATCATTACCAAATTTATATTTGTTAGTCAAAGACACTCCACACAAATATACTCACCATGCATGGAATCAATATAATTTTAGATAATCTCCTTTACCGGTTTGACCACACCAAACTATACTCAAAGTGGTTCAAAGATGTATAATGTAATAGTTCACGGGTTGAGCATCTAAGTCTACTAGTTTAACCTACAAGACATGTGAATCAACTTATTACTGTACAACGCTAAACTTAACTCACATGCAGAAGTAGTGTCACATTCTACTTGGATAAGCACAAATTCAACTAAACACATAACTTAATCACAATTCATAAAGTAGCACATAATTTTAAGTACGTGCATCATGACCAATAAGGTTTATCTAGCTCACACAAGCAAACAATTAAAATTTGTGGTTTTTATTTATTTATAAATCACAACAATCACACAATAGCAATAGAAAAATTCACAAATCACACAAAGGCAATAAAGAAATTTAATGTCTCTACCCAATGTTAAACTAAATATTATTTTCAATGTGAAAGAAAAGATAAAGGTAATGGAATTCCGTGAGTAAAGATATTAATTGTCTTCATCGTTGTTGGCTTCATGGTGATACGGTGGTGAAGTGGAGGTGGGCCTAGTAAAGAAAAAAGGGACTGACTCCTAGGCATTATATTTCGGTTGAAATTTTTTCAAACGTGGACTTTTTTTGTGTAGCATTGTAGCGTTGGATTCATGGCGCCTAGGTGCTCTATTTTGGGGTGAAAGATTACCAAACCTAGGTCTGTATGGGGTGCTGCAGCACTGCAACTCTATTGAAAACCACCAAAAGTGGGCTTTGGGAGTGCTGAGGCGTTATTTACATGGTGCCTAGGCTCAAAACTTCGATCAAAATCCTTTTTATAATCGAATTGACTTCAAATCTCCACCTTGATTTTGTTTTTGCCCCCAAACTTTAGCATTGGCCTACAAAAATTAGCAAAAATATTAAGAAACAAAAGGAAAAAAAAAAACTAATATCTCTATAATTAAAATGTGGGAGAGAGATTGGGCTTCCTCCCAATAAGTGAATCTTTAACTTCATTAACTTGACATTGTCGATGTGCTCGTTTGAATCTTCAAGAGGAATTTCTTCCACTTTCTGCTCTTATTCTCCGTAGTTATGCTTAACCCATTGACCATTTGCTCGAAATATAGATCCATATTTGCTTGTCAACTCCATCGCTTTAAAGGAAATATTTTGTGAATGGTCAATGATCTCAACCATCGTGATCTAAACTTTTCCGGGAACAATTGTAAGTGGGAATTATAAAGTACTTGTTTTCCTTGACTAAATTCCCTCCTCAATATCGTCTATTCTTTGTAGATTTTAGTATTCTCATATCATATGCATCGTTGAGGGATTCCTCCAGTTCATCAAGTTGCAAAAGAAGTTTAGAACGTGTTGCTTTCATATCAAAATTTAGCTTCTTTACAGTAGAATTTTCATCCAAAAAGGCATAGTGAAGATGGTCAGAAATCGGCTTCAACTCAGGTTTAGTACCTCAATTCTCTTTGGATTCGATAGTGTTGACAGACTGCAGAATATCTTCTTTCTGGTTCAGATTATTTTTGAGTGACTAAGCTTTAGGAGCCAATAGACAATTAACTAATTTCTTGCTCCCTGTGTAACATCCAATAGTAGCTATATCTTTTCTTGAAGCACCAGTCACAATACAATGCTTTAAAAGTCTTCAAACAAATCTTCTTTATACACTTCGTTTACCACTACATCTGTAGAGTCGATCCTATGACAAGTATCAGTGTCTTCAGGGAATTTTGTAACTCGGTGTGTATTGTACATGACCTGTTCTTCGTTAACCCTTAGTGTCAATTGTCCTCCTTGTACATCAATAAGCGCTCTACTAGTTACTTAAAATGGTTGGCCAAGAATTAATGCGATCTCTTGATCTTCATCCATGTCTAACACCACAAAATCAGTTGGAAAAATAAATTTATCAACTTTAACCAACACATCATCAATAATCCTTCGTAGGTAAATAACAAATCTATCAGCAAACTGCAAAGTAATGGTTGCTGACTTCACTTTTCAAGACCCAATTTCTTGAATATAGAGAAAGGCATTAAATAGATGCTAATCCCCGAGTAAAATGTTTGAATGGTTACTGAATTTTAACATGGTCACGATTTACTAACTAAACTTCAAATTATCTCTTAATGGTCACTGAACTTTTTGCCGTTGCACCACATCCATCAATCACCAAATTCCGTTACCATTGAAGCTGACGTGGCAGACGGAGAACACACGTGGCAGGTGACGGTCGTTAAAAAATGATAACTCAGCGAAAACATTGTTTCATTACTCATTCAATTTACATTTTGTCACATTTCACTCATCGAACTTCAAAATGTTTCTCAATGGTTACTTATCTTTGAAATGTTGCACTCTATTTATCATTCGCATATTTTGTTCCCTTCATTCCTAATATTCGCACAAAAATTGCACGGGTAAATTACAAATGTTAAAAAAATTGTAACTCAACAAAACTTAACTCACCAAAATCATCATATATGAAACGTGACTTTCAGGGCCCATCAACTTCTTTAAAACTAAATAAAGTGTCCCCAATGATTCTTTTAGAAATATTATTTTTCTAATTCGAACGTTTGCTATGCAAAAAAATAGGTTTCAATATGATATTTCTAAAAAAATCATTGGGAACGCTTTATTGAAAAAAATTATTTTTTCTAAAAGAATCGTTTTTTCTAAAAGAATAATTTTGGCCCATTAATGAACCACATCTCAGCCAGAATTGTAAAATACGTTAGGGCAGCCCATGCCTGAATATTGGACCAATACTTTTGAGTCTACTAATTTATAAGTTGATCCCATGATGGTTTTAATTTGGGATTAAAATCTATATTTTAATTTTAAATTAAAATCAATAATTAATTTTAATTGCATAATTTATAGGATGCATCACTTTTGAATCACACATTTCATTAACTTTTATAAAAAATTATTAAAAATCTAATTTTAATCCTTACCAAACATGGGCTTACTTAGTTTCTATTTGGTGAGGATTAAAATTAAGTGTTTAGTAAATTTTGATAAAAGTTGATAAAATGCGTGATTAAAAAGTTGTGAATCTCATTAAATGTGCAGTTAAAATTGGATATTGACTTTAATTTAGATTATAATCAATATCAAACATAGGCTTAATATTGTTTTACCCTTTAACTTGAAAAGTACTGGTGATAGTATCAGAAAAATAGAAAAACTACTTTTAATTCTTCATATTAGAGAGTAGAATATGTAAAAGAAATTTTAGTGTTGCTATTAACAGTTTACCACCGTTGCCATTTATTATTTTTAGAATTACTAATTGTAGCATTTTATAGCTCTTTATAAATCAAACATATATTTCTACTTGTATATGGATACAAATCTCCTAGAGAATAGATATACCTACTCTAATACTTAATTACCCATGGATATTCAATTCTTGCATATGACGACGAAAATCAATGATCTAATTATAATCTCTCTCTCTCTCTCTCCTATACTTATATTTGAACTTAATTAATAATAATTAAATCTCGAACATATAAGTACACATTAATCCACAAGAAAATATTATATCACGATTCTATCCATGATAAGATTATAAGTTGTTCATTACCATTTGCTAATTTATAATGAACATCTAAAAAATAATATAAATTACAAACACTTTTTAACGATGATCAAGCATCAAAATAGAATAAATGAATAATAAATGGTTAATTTCACAAACGGACACTGAAGTTATGTTCGGTTTCGGTAATGGTTACTAAATGACCTTTTCATTTTAATTGGAACTTAAAGGACCAAAATAGTTGAATGTTGAATCTTGAGGACCTAAATCGCAAAACGAGAATGGAAGCTGATTTTGGGAGGGAATTAGGGTAAAAATCATTGCTAATATACGGCGAAAACTCCTACCCCCACGAGAGAGAGAAAGAAAAATTTGGGAGAAATAGTCTCCGTGCAACACGGAGACGTGATGTCTCCCAATTTTTTTTTTTAATAGCAACCATACATTCTCATTTTTGTTAATTGTGATGAGTAATACTATCATGTGCTCCTTAGGTCCTTGATGACTGCAATTGATGAGCAGAATGCAATTTGCTGCTGCTTTATTGATGAGTAGAATGCAATTTGCTGATACTTTATTGATGAGCAGAATGCAATGAGCAGAATATGTAATTGGCACACCCGATGAGTAATGCTATAATGACATTTATATTATGAGTGAAATATCACTCAACGCAAACAATATAGTTCATTATGAGTGAAATATCACTCACAATCTTCCACATTTCATCAAAAAAGGAACAATGACAAAAACTAGATGGTCACTATCAAAATAGAGTTCGTTGTCAAAAAACATATGATAGATTTCAACCCGCGTCATTCGTCATCAAGTTGTTCCATGCTTCGCTAAGAGTTGAGTTCGAACTTCCACCAACAGTTGGCCTTCGCTGAGGTACAGATGCCTTCCTATTGAAATTGGTTCTCGGTATTGGCACGAAGGACGTTGTTCATTTCCACAATTAGTTGGCTATGAATTGGCAAATTGCTGTCCAACATTTGCTCTTGCAACTTCCCATTCCATTGGACCATTTATGTCCTACAATTCATGAAAAGTGATGTCAACCAACATAATAAACAAAACAAAAACAGGATATACTCTTACAACTATAATATGGTACATACCTCTTTGGTGTGTAGCTTGCCTGCTAATCATGGTTTGAGTGGTATCTTTTATTGTGACCCGTTTGACTGCAAATACTACATTTCATTCTCTTCTTGCCATCACCTCACCTATCAATCTTCTTCATCTTCTCTTTGGACAATACAGCTTCCTCAACCCCTCTTTGGCGCTTTATCTACTTCCTGCCTGGTTTTTTGGTCACCCACGTTGGGGGTTTTACTGGGTCGAAGATATTCGAAGGCCACATTTTTGGTCCATTTATAGGGTATATGCAATTCTCGTAAGCTTTTAAGTAAGTTGCAACTTTGTAGCTCTCGTCCACAAACTGCAAAAGAACCTTACCCCCCTCACGGATGCCGGCTATTGCGTGTGGACAAGGCATACCAGTTAGATCCCACTTTCTACATGAGCATGTCCTATTTTGTAAATCTACCACTAACTGACCATGGGAGTAAGGTCCAAAAACTTGAAATTGCATTTTCCCATTGAATAATGATTTCCACGAAAAAGAATCATGTGTACTCATTTCAAGTTTTTTTTACAATTTTTGGACATATATCGTTAGAACTCTTTGCCATTATATCGCAACGTTTGTACATCCGTATCATCACCTTGATTTGTATTGACTGAAGAAGAGTCAAAATATCCTTCCCCGTCGCTTCCTTTATGTAGTTGTTAAAGCATTTACAGAGGTTGTTTAATAAAATGTCACATTTGGAAGCCGTCATGAAATTGGACTTTGACCATTGCTCGACTGGTTTAGCACATAACCACTCCCAGGCAAGTTTATTCTCCTCCTTCATTTTGTCCATCCAAAATATAAAATCAGTCAAATAAGTAGACTTTAATGCTCTCTACAACAAATCCCTAAGCTTTAACTCTTTAAAGTCTTCGCGAAAGAAGTTGGAGTACATGTGCCTCATACAAAACCGATGCTCAGCCATTGAAAACAACTCAGACGCCATATTCTTTAACCCTTTCTGTCTATCAGACATAATTGTGACTTCATATGCATTTTAAAGCATCAAATCTTTCCCTAACAATTTCAAAAACCATGACCAGCTAGCATTACTTTCGGTATCAACAATGGCATGCGCAATTGGGAATATAGAATCATTCCCATCAATACCCACCGCAGCAAGTAACTGACCACCAAAATTGCCTTTTAAGAAGCACCCACCTATGCAAATAACTGGTCTACAACTACGCAAGAAGCCCTTCTTACAAGCATCGAAGCAAACATAAATCGCCTTAAACACAATGTTGTCTAAAGATAGTATAACAGTTGATCCTGGGTTTGTTCTCCTAATCTCAGCTGCATACGAACCCAACAAACCAAATTGCCCAACAAGCGATTCTCTAAGCAACTCCTTAACGTATCTCCTAGCCCTCCATGTTTTTGTGTCACTAATCTCTACACCATACTCTTTCAAAACACTTAACTTAAACAATTTCACATTCCACCTTGGCACAATAGTAAACGTCTCAATGTATCTACGGGCTAACCAACTACTGGATACACTATATTCTTCAATGCTCTACTACAGTTATGATTCCATTCGAATGATATAATCTGCCATGATGAATCTCCCTCCAATGGCGAAGCCCAAATACGCCACAGACACTTTTTTCCTTTGCAATGACCTTCTAATATATTTTTATCATTATACGAAAATATCACCTCAAACCTATTATGAATGCTGAAGTTTTTAACCACGGGCTTTACCTCCTTTTTTGACCTAAACTTAAGTCCTACATCAAGCACGGGATCCACCATATCTACTTTACCATTAAATTCTGGGTATGTAACAACTTCTTCGTCACTGTCAGAATGCACGCTTCGAAGATCATCTGAGGGTACATCCAGAATTGTCAGATTCATTTGTTGCTTCCAACGACACTATCTCATTCCTCTATCAAGTTCAATATTTGGGGTAACATTTTCTCAAAGAGAATGTTGTCTTCTTCACCAAGGCTATAATCGAAATCATTGAAGGTGATGTCTTCTTTATCTAAATCATTGTTTAAACAACCTGGACAATATAATAGAATATTATAAATTTCTTAGCCGACAGTGTAGTGGCTGGAAAATAAAAACGTGTGGAATGTGTCAAAGCAAGCATGTTCCTCCAATAGAGCAATTTATTGCACAACAAAACGACGCAACTACTGTTCAATGTGAAGAGTTAATACAATACAGTCAAAGAAAGGACCCAACTAATGTCCAACTCATTAAAGCTACTTGAAGAGTTAATACAGCCAAAAAAGGTTAAAAAAGAAGTGCTAACATTCACCTTCTTCCTCCACATCCGACATGTTGAATAATTTTTTGTCCGTTAGTGGTTCCCAATCTTAGATTTTCTCACAAAAACAAAAATTGGAGAAGTATAGGTTTGAAAATGTGATTCTTGATTGGAAGCTTAAGCTAAGGATTGGGAAGATTTAATTGGATGATATTAGCAATGATTTTCACCCTAATTACCTCCTAAAATCGGCTTCCATTCTCCTGATGTTTCACAGCAAAAAAGAAATGAAATTTNTTAAATTCCAATTAAAATGAAAAGGTCCTTCAATGACCATTACTGAAACCAAACGTAACTTCAGTAACCGTTAATGGAAGTTTTAAATTTCAGTGATCATTTTTTGATTTTGACGTAATTTCAGTGACCGCTTGTGAAATTAACTCGAATAATAAACTATCAACTAGAAAAAAAGGAATTGAACAAAAAAGGTGTAATTAATTCATCAAAGAGCTAACAAAGTTTTATCATGAATCCTAGCTATAAAATGCTTAATCTTTTCATTTTTTGATCACAAAAAATACAAGATAAATATGGAACACATAACTTTGGAAAATCTTGGTATGTAATTCTCCCTCTATGATTTTCTATTATGTGGTAAGGAATTCCTCCTTTATTTGACCTGACTTTGTCTCCAAAAGGTCTTGCAATTGGTGTCTTGGAAATACTCAAAACTGCCATTTAATGTAATTTTAGATTTCAACTTTCACATCAAGTCGAGTACGCTTAAGATCGCTCAATGCATTAGGGCAGCCGCGCTTAGCCCACAAATTTCTTCAAAGAGTGGTCGATCAATGCTATAGGGCGGCCCCCTCCCCAAATTTATCTCATACACTTTGGTGTCCTCTAAGTTTCTGGTTTGTTACCTTTCAGTCCTCAGCTTTTAACGCCTTCTAAATTCTCCCATTTTACTCCCCAAACTTTACAAAGTGTTTATTTTGGTCTCCAAAATTTGTGAACTCTTACAGTTAGCTTCAAATTTCGTCTAATTGAGTTCCAATACTTTCTGACACTTTTGCGTTTCCATTCTTTTGCCCAAATTGAGCTCCAAATCACTACTTTTTTTTTTCTCAATTCACCTCCAAGTCGAGGTTTCTACCTATAGAAGCAATATGTGTACTAAATTGAGTAAAAAATCACTCAAATAATCAAATATTGGGTATATATAAGAGACTACACAAGCACGCAACATTTATTTATCAGATGAACATAATCCCTAGAGATCTTTTCAGTACAGATTATGACTCAGGTGTCCAAATTTCGCCCGACTAATCCTGAGGAGTGGCGGCCTTCTTCCCTGGTTCACCACCCTAGTTAATTCGAATGCAGTCACAACTTATACACACTTGGACCGGACATTCGACGGTTCTCCTCTCTGTGGACCTTTGCCTTCCAACATAGATGTTGTCTTCCAACATTTAAATGTTGTCTTCCAATTGCCGCTGGGATTCGGATATTCGATGTTCCGTAAAGAATCCTCTTCCTTTACCACTGCGCTATGTCCATGGAGGCATTATTAGTCTATTGTTGTTAGCAATGAATGTCGTATATAGGTAATTTCCATGGGTGAAAATATTTGTTTTTTTGAAGTAATGATTGATCATTATATTGTAAGTTATTGCCACATGAAAACGTGCAATTCGTAATATTACTTTCAAATTAAATATGATACAGTATTGAAGATCTTTTGGCTTCGTATGACAGCAATTTGCATATATCAGTATTGATGACCTTTTCGGATTGCCACCAACCTTACTATTAAACGTTAGATGACAAGCCAGAAAAGTTTTCAGCATTTTTCTTCTGTGCTCAAATTAGAAATGGATTATAGAATTGAAAATATAAATAAGTACAATTTTCTAAGTAGATAGTGAAGATTTCTTGTCCCTCAATAAGTGTATTTTATACATTTATACGGGGTTTTATTCTTGATTATTTATTGTTAATTGAAAGAATATCTATTTAATTTAGATTAAATGCGTTAATTGTAGGTAAATCATCTCTTGGATGCACTTGGAATGAAAAATGATGAATTTGAAACTTAATTGGAGTTGATTCAAATAATTAAAAACCAACTAACTTGCACATAATCAATTGGAAAATTTAATGGGGGGCAATCAGATGAGGTTCACAAGTTTCAAGAGCTAAATTCAATACTTGAAATATTTAGGGACTTAATTACAAAATTTAGAACTTGCATCATATCAATCACGAATGATTTTGGAATGTGAAGGATTAAATTGCATAGATTCAAAGTTGAAGGATCAAAACTATGCATAAGAAAGGACTCGAGATGAACAAATGAGGGAAACGTGGGAAAGCTTGGAGGCTCTTATACAAAGTTGAACACACATATTTAGCAGAGATTCAGGGGCCATTGGATAAAATCGAGAAATTCATTCAAACTCGAAGAAGCTTTTATACAAAACACCAATTCTACATCTTTTCATATATCTTTGCTTGGAGTTAGGGGCGGAACTAGGGACGGGCCAACCTCTACTACAGTCCATCCCTCTAGTCCAAATCCTAAGTGTAATTTTTAGCCCATGTCCAATTTTCCCATCAGTTGAAGTTGAAGAAGAAGATATCAAAAGATTGATCAAGAACCATTAACGGAATTCAAGATTTAAGACCATTTCCCATCTTTCTTTCCAACCTTTAATTTCGAGCGATGTTGCATTCATTTAGTTTGTGTTTTTGCATTATTACAATGTCTAGGTAGTCGTATAGATACTAAAATAACGACGAACCCTATATTTTAATGTTTTTATATAAAATTACGAATTTTGACACTTTAAATGTTTGTTTAGTTTGAATGATTGTTAGGAGTTTAATTCTTTTCAATTAATTGGTCATTGATTGAATTGGTATATGATTTTTATTGACATTTGGGAGAAGGAATCGGAATTTAACACAAGTAGCAATCACTATAAGGTCATCTAGATGTTAAGGGATAATTATTTGTGCTTTGCATGATCTCATTGAAGGTTCTTTCGATTTAAATGCATCTTCATATTCTAGTGAAAATATTGAAAGAAATTCGTCGAATAATACCAATGTATAAATAATTGGCCACATAAAAGGATGCAACATAACAAAATTGAACTTACTTGAGAAATCATAAATTTTTTAACCTGCAGTCGGAGCACCTACACCTGTATACTTATACGAAAAGAAAATGAAAATATAAAGTCGAAATATGTAATGCATGATCTGTAAGATGAATTTCAAGTTTTATCTCGTTGAATTTTTTGACAAGATTTTAATGAGACATCATTTTATTATTCTAAATTATTTGTAATATTATTTTCTTTGTTTGGTATTTTGTCCCATCGAATCTTTGCCAAATAAGGTTTTAAATAGTGTAGTTATTGTATAAATAGTCAATCAAGGAGGAATATTGTAAATAAAGCTGAATTTGTGAATAACCATTGTAACCTTGCAATCCTAATTGTAACATATAAATATGAGACATTTGTTCTCAATAAAATACACAGACAAGTCTATTGACTTTTATATTTTCTTCTCTTTTATCTCTACTTTATAACACAACATAATATTTGCTATTCATTTCAAATGAAGTCAGCAGAATATTGGATATAAGATGTGTTAATACATGGAACATTGAGGATAAAGATGCGACAAAAAGGGTAAGGAACATAATTGCAATAATGAGTAAAGATCTTTAATGCATATAAAAAGTAGTGCAACAAAATAAAATACGGTGTCAATCAATATAACCTCCGCTGATAAGATATTGAGTTCTCTCCAGGTTTTGTCAATTTTGAGAATTCATATATTGAATTATTGAACTTTAAGATCACGACTCCATTCTCGACCTCCCAATGGTGGTGTATCTCTCTATCTATAAAATTTCATTTATTTATTTATTTTAATTCTCTTACTCACATTTTCATAGTTAACATATTTAAGTGTAGGGATGTCAATGAGTCGTGTTGAACTTGAAGCTCAGGTTCGGTTTAAGTAAAAACGGTTCGGACTTGTTTACGCATCTAGGCTCGACCCAAGCTTTTGGCTCGGGCCTCGACTCTCCTTTTTTTTTTTCTCTTTTTTTATAGTTGCCTCAACTATTGCTGCCTGCAATATCAGACAGTTAAATAACGCAGCAACATCCTTGTACAGCTAAATAATTTTTTTTTTCTTTTTAAGTTTTGCAAATTTTATTTATTTATTTTTTTGCTCGTTACGGGCCAAAAATGGCCCGTGACACAGGCTGCTCGGGCTTGAGCCGATGCCCCAAAATGGGGATTGACTCGAGCCACGAGCTGGGTCGTCTTTGATTTTTTCCAGATCGAGCCTGGGCCGCTGAACCAACGAGCCAAATTGATACCCCTACTTAAGTGACGAATTTCGAGCAAAATAAAATTTGACGGGCAACATTTAATTCTGCTTGAAGCCCAATACTATATTTATGCAATCCACATTGGAATTTGCATTTATAGTTTAGATAAAAATTACAGTAGTAGATTAAATAGAGGTCAGTGGAGTGGGATAACTGGAATAAAGGTTATTAATTTTAATTTTTCAACCTTAATTTTAATTTAAATTTTACATGATGTGT